TTATTTTTTTTTATGAATGATGTGGACATGTGTTGGTTTAATTGACGAATATCGTCGTACGTGGAAATATTGAAGTTACAGTTGATTTTTTAGTTGTGTCATACTGTCGTTTGTTTATAATCATTGTCAAATGAATACGATATGAATATTGCACTATATCGTATAGTCGGTTGCACTATTGTTCACATATTTTTGCACCGCATGAAAACACCACTGTATATTGCATGTATTCTGTTTTAGCATACAATGTTATGAAGGTATACTCAGATATAAAATTATTAATACAATAACAGTAATAATGCAGGATAATTTAAGAATGACATTGTGTTGACATAAGGCATAACAACACACTGCACATCAACTCATTGGTCATTGCACATAATATATGTACGAAGTGCACGATATGAAATGCAGGTCGAACTGCACATTACACAACGCGTTTATCTATCAGTGATGGCCACAATGTATCGTTACACAATCCTGGCAATAGTATTAAAACGACCGATCAACACATTGACACACACACACACACACATGCAATCGTTTGTCATTGTCAACGACCGACCAACACCAACAAGATAGACAAATAACAACACATAACTAAAAAAATGTTCAACCACATCATTACAAATACTATAAACAGACTATTCAATTTTTTTCACAGCCCAACACGGGAACGATTACCAAAGGTTGCAGCATAAAAACCATGTCGACAACAAAACAAACACATCAAGTGATTCACCACGAACGTTCACATGACGCCGACAAAACAGACAATCCACGTCCAACATGCTTAAACAAATGTCAAATACCGGCCTGATTCAAAACAAAAATATAGACTTGGCCATATGATCCGAAACAAAAGATAAACATGTCCAAACAATCCGAAATAGAAGCTAAATCACCATACCCACAAAATGCACCTTTCACCAACACAATCACGGCAATTTACGCTTCTTATTTGCCATATATACGGGGTGGTACATCATCGCTGCTGTGTGGTTGTCGTCCTGCAGATCATTGTTGGGGGCACAAGATATGACGCAGCTATACCGCTTTCGCATAAGCTTCAGCTGTCCTTTGTCTCCCTTCCTCAGTTGATGATTCCAACTTTTAGCAAAACCGCCCTTAAATGTCTCCATGTGGCGCATCGTGATGACTCCAACGTCTGCCTCGTCAATCCCTTCAGTCCAGCCTATGTCAATCACGTCTGGAATGGACATTGCGACTGCCTTCGATTTTCCAACAACATTTCTCTCGCCTAGATACTTCGAGAAAGATTGTTTCTACAATAAATATATAGGTGCTTAGTATATCACGACAAATAAAATGCGTACACACAATAATCGTGTTAAATTTGTAACATTACCAATAGGTCAGCGCGGGACATGAGTGTTTTTTTAACAGTTCCATCTGTTACGTGTTGAGTGCTGTCAAGTACAACGAACTTTCGGAAATCCGGCGCCGCGCACAATAAAACCGAACACACCTCGGAGTGGACGGGAAATATAAACTGCATAAGACATAAAAAATAAATAAAACACGTCGTGAATACCCCGAGACAGCTCACCTAAATCGCATTTAATCTGAAAACATAGAAAGTAAAAAAGAAATAATAATAATAATAATAATGAATAAATGTTAATGTAAAACAAAAATAGCATAGTATTTTAAGTATACAATACCACTGATATTTGCTTCAGATTGTAACAGGGAATGCGTTCAATTTCTGAATCGAGCAATTGAGCAAACTTTTTATAGCTCAAGTCCTTCTTCCGTTTCCCAGAATAGAACAACTACGATCATATATTACATGATTAAACTATCAGATGCATATAAACATGTTGTATTCATAAAGATAAATAACTTGCACTCTTAAAATTTATCATACCTCATTGCATGGGGATGTCGATGCAAAGAAACATCTTACTGAACCACGGCTCCTGAATTTCTCGTTATAATTCAGGATGAACGACCACAAATCCAACAGCTCCTTCCTGATCGGTGTGTTTGGCAACAAACATGCCACAATAGGCTTCCTCACGGAATATCCGGACGACCGGACTATGATATAGCAATCGTTACAAAAAAAAAGAGCGAGTTAGAATAATATACGAACATATGACTATCTAGTATTTTGGTTACTTCAATTAGTAATACTAATTATAATACGAAAAAAAAAATGTTCATACTCGTCAGACGTATCTTTTTTCAATGCCCATGCAGCAATCATTTTCTCATGATTGTCAAGCTTCTTAACAACGTCAATTGTCCTCTCCATGAAGGGGGATTTGACAAAACTTGAAGCCTTGATATGCCTCTTCGGCCTCGGTGAACCCTGTGTGCCGTCCTCACGAGCTACATCATCGTTGTTGTCTGACAGAAAGAAAAATAAGAGATAATAATAATGTGTGCAGAAAAAAAAATAAATTTATAACATGTACACACACATATATATATACACACAACTATTACGTATCGTATTGGTTACACGATCACCTGTTATTAGTCCACGTTCTTCATCAACCATCGGGGTGGCAGTCAAAACAGCAGCACCAGCCTGAGATTTCAGTCCATGTTCTTCATCGATCATAGGGCTGGACGGTAAAACAGCGCATTCAGCACCAGTTTGCACTCCGCGAACTTCATTAACCGTCGGGACGGCATGTAAATCAGTTCCAATTGGAAGACCGCCTTCTACAACAGTCGTCGTTTTATCAGATGAAACGTCAACGCCTGCTTCATATATGATTATAACAATAACATATCAAAAATAAAAAAAACAAAGAGGCCAATTGCAACTATACCATATAATGTATTTAAATGTAATCACGTACCTTTTGGCACGTCTACTAAAACCGTGGGTGCATCTATATCATGGCCGGGATTCACATCTGCACCACTCGCATATCGAGGGGGGTCGTCAGCAACATCATCATCCGATGAGAGTCCCAAGCTATAACTAGGATAACCCTCGCGTTGCGACCTCCGGAAATGGTCCCGTTGTTTGACCGCCCTAAAGATTTCATCAATCGCCGCTAACGTCTTAGGGTCATTCCAAAAAGCATCGTCAACGGTCTGAGATGGGGCACAGTTGGTATTATCCTTAGTTACATCAATCTTTTCAGACTGAGGTACTTCGATATACACCCCAATCAATATCCAAACAGCATCACGCATTTTCACGAAATTGTCATCTCCAAGTAAAATTTGCGGCGCCTTTTCAACTAGCCGTAGTATTTCAGTTCCGGTTGTGGCGAGCAGGAGAGTTTTAGATGCAAATTCTTGCACAAAAGCCTACAAATGAAATTTCAGGTATAACACCAACAAATCTTACATATCTGAATGCAATAGCAGTACAATTAATAATATTAATGAATAAACTAAATGTAATGCAAATTAATAATTCGTATATTAAAAAAGAAATGCTACCAATATATGCAAATTAGTGTTTACGATATTGCACATTACTACATCGAAAAATGCACGCACTTACATACGTGAAACAACAAACACAAAAGGATAGAAAAGTATCAATGTATACATAAAAAAAACAAAAACAAAACAAAGAAAGCCAATAAAAACAAACATCACCATTGTGCTGCAACCAAGCAAATGAAAAAACACGAATAAAATTCAAGATCAACAATATTAATTGTGACAAAACTGCACATTGACTATGCACATTAATTATAATCACATTGCACAAATGCACATAATACATTGCACATTAAATATTCAGTGTACCTGTATGTTGTGTCCCTCCGAACATCCAGCGTCATTGTCGTATGTTTTGGGAACAGTCTTATCCAACTGGCGACTATCGGCTAGCAAGCACAATTCTGTGTCAACGAAACCCCTACCAAACGCTCCAGAAGAGATCTCGTCACGTTCTCTGGCCTGTAGCGACACGTTACTCCATGAAATAAACGTCGGGAACGTTCTTGGAACCGATCTCACAGACAAGACTACTCTGTCTACGTAGAACAGCTGCATAAATAATAATTAAAAAAACACAATAATAATAATAAAATAAATAAATAAACATCAGACAAGGAATAGAAAACGATATTGAACATAAACAGTTACATAGTCCATAAATAAAGCAACCCATCATGTCGTCAGGCATGTATCAGATGTACAACTTTATAATAATAGATGAAAGCATAAAGGTTAACGACATAATGACTGACCGTCAAAAATAGCAAGGGCCCCGAGTACTTTTTTTTTTGCCGTTTGATTCCCACGCTCTCTTCGTGTCGACCAAGCACTGGATCATATACGAGCACCAATTAATCTTGCTGACCGTTGACAAGTCATCAAAGGCATGTAACAAGCGGAAGTTCGCCATGCCATTTAGGCAGCTCTCGAATAAGCATGACACTATAAGGACGATGAAGTGTCTCTTAAACCAATCATCACCGTCAACACACGCGTCCATTTTCTCTAATACCTTTGATGTCGTTATATTTGACGTGTTTCTCACATCAAACATTCGAATCCACTCGTCAAGCAACGTAGATGAAGCTCTCTTCTTCTTATTTGAGATTTCGATCTCTTCATGAGGCAGTCCAAGAACGGCGTGAACGTCGTATTCCTTAACATGCACCTTTTCACCACCGTACAACTGAAGTTTACGGTCCATGTGATTGAAATTTTCCACCAACCAGAAGCCCATCTTGGACGGAGCACTTGTTATTGCCAGATCCAACAAACTGCCCAGACCCATTTCACGAACTGCACGTTTTTTGGCATCCGTCAAACCAGTCACCGCCTTCACGAACATAGTTGCAGAAGATCTAGTGGTTACACTTGGGAAGGCACCGTCATTGTCGATATTAATATCAGCATCATCATCAATATCGTGGTCATCTACATGGTTAACAAAAACTTTCATCTTTCCCTTATCTGCTGCATTCACCTTTCCCTTATCTGACAATCAACAAACGTCATAATATTAACCAAACAATCACGTACAGTCATGGGTAGATATAAGTATAAATTTCAAAAAGAATAAACTAATTGCATGTACCGTGATGTTTCTTTGGAATTTCAGTCAGGCATCGTCGAGAGTCACCATCATTCGTTTTGTCACTACGGGGCTGCCTCACTGGACGCACCCCAGTTTTTGTGCGCTTGACAAGAGCAGCAGCAGGGTCCGGATCATCACGGGACCTCTTCGACACATTAGCTAGAAAACGATACATAAGTTAGAACGAACAATGAGTTAACTTAAAAAAAATAATAAAAAAAAACAAGATAGCAATAGTGAAACAACTAAATTAACAATGTGAAGTCAAGGCGTTTCCGTGAAAATACGTACCTTCTTTTATATTATCACGTATCACAGATGGGCTACCTTGTTGT